ACAGCTGGAGTGAATTTAGCATCTCCCAGCTGGTTCATTGTTGGCACTTCTGGAGAAGATGGCATGGTTTCCAAGCTCCTGTCAGCTTTCCTCTTTTGAGCATCTGAAGCTGCCCCTACTTTTTCCAGATTTCCAGACATCCCCACTCCCTGATCCTGCAGCAAGTTTATTTTGTTTTGGTATTTCCTATTGCCTCTTCCCACACCTACAACTTTCTCTTTTCCTTTTGTCCAATACATAAATGTGTATTGTGTGTTCTGGACAATACACAGACTGCACCTGGGTGCAGAATGTACCTTTCCTTTATAGCAGGAGCACAGGACTGCTCCAAGAATTCCGCCTCAAAATCCAGGTGGAAAAATGGGAGGAAAGTCTCTGGCATATCACCGCAAAGCTCTGCTTCCACAGTTAGTAATGTAAGCCTGTGCTAATACTAATCTTTTGCTTTTTCCTGTCATTTACATTGCATAATTTGTGATCAGCCACATTTAGACAAATCCAATCCACAATCTGGATTTTATGATGCTTGATAATACTTCTCATTTGGCAATAACAGGCAGGTGCCAACCCAAGACATGAAGAAGGCTAATGGGCTGAGCAAACTGAATCAGTGTATGCTGCAGGAAAGATTGTGGTAGTTGCTGGTAAAAGAAGCAAGCATCAACCATAGTACTATCTTTGTTTACCATCTTTTATTCAGGCTTAGATGTGCACATAATGCTGCAATAGTGGTAAAATGTCTTCAGAAGGATTGTATATACCAGTGGTAGTCAACCTGGTCCTACCGCCCACTAGTGGGCATTCTAGTTTTCATGGTGGACAGTAGGGGTTTTGTCCGATACTGAAGCTCTTTCCTTTTTTTTAATTTAATTGACTTTAAAAAAAATTCATAGCATTATTTAAAAACATTTTCATTAGGTTTTCATAAAATTCCCTGTGACAATTTAAATTTCTGAAAATATACTATTTGTATCGCCTGCGCATAAGTTTAGTTCATGTTACGTAAGTGAAACTAAATGGCGCTATAGTGCGACCGCAAACAAAAGAGTCTCATCTCAGAATTGCTCGCGCATCTCCCCCCACACCACCCAGCTGTAACAGACAAGCAGAGCTGGTAACTGGCACCCTTCCACAAACCCAATCCACGATGCGCGAGAGGCATGTGCAGATGACGATACACGGCGCAGGCTGTTTTGTTTGCAGTCGCACTCATCAGTACAGAGTTAGATTTGTGAGAGTGAGCACGTGCCTACAGCTTCAAACAAAATATTGTGAGTCCATGTCTCAAAAAAAGAAATACGCTCATGGCTATTTGCCAGAGTATCTGAAGATGGGTTTCATAGAATCTGTTGTAAATAAACAACATCCAATGTGTTTATTGTGTCATAAAACATTATCCAATGAGGCAATGAAGCCAAGTCGATTGCGAGAACATCTTTCTACAAAGCAGCCAAATGATAAGGAAAAGCCCATTGAATATTTTCAGGAAATATATAAAAAATTTCAGAATCGTTAAACAATCGTTGCATCATTTAAGAAACAACATGCAGTGAACGAAGATGGATTAATTGCTGCTTATCTCATTTCACAATTAATTGCAAAAAGTGGTAAAAGCTATAATATTGGAAAAACTGTAATAATACCCTCTATAAAATAATTTATCTCAACAGTAATGCATCAGGATATACCTCAAATTTTAAAAATGTTGCCCCTAAGCGATAGCACAGTAAAGCGACGAATTGAAAAAATGACAGTTAATATTGAAAAAAAACTGATAAGTATTCTCCAAAACTGTTCATTTTCCATGCAATTGGACAAGTCTACCATTGCAGATAATAATGCTTTATTGATGGCATATGTACGTTATTTTGATGAAAACAATACATTACAAGAAGAAATGCTATTTGCAATAAATCTCATTACAGATACAAGAGGATTATCTATATTTAATACTGTGAAATCATACTTTACAAAAAAATAGTATTCCTTTGAATAATATTGTTGCATGTGCTACTGATGGAGCACCATCAATGATAGGTCGCTATCGTGGATTTGTTGCTTATTTGAAGGAAGAAGTGCCAAATGTTTTATGTATTCATTGTGTGGTGCACAGACAACATCTTGTAGGAAAACATCTAAGTACAAGTCTCCATTCATCATTAACTATAATAATTCGAGCCATAAACAAGATCAAATCCAATGCATGGAAAATTTAGGAATAAATTTGTCCTGATGGACACATTTGCAGATACAAAGTAGATATGAAAAAGATGTAAAAATGTATGGATTTCACAAGGATCAAAATGTGTTTGATAAGATTTTGTTAACCTCGGATGAGAAATTAATTAAGAAAATGTATAATTTTTTGTTAATTTTAAATATGGAAAGTGAACAAGTGAAAGAAACAATGATAAGATGGGCAAAAAATTTTGGTTATGATATAGAATTAGAAAAATGGTAAATGTTATGGGAGAGAAACTATAAATCAACAATGTCAACTTCATATAAAGAAAATTTGTATAAAATGTTTTATAAATGGCACCTTTCGCCAGCAAGATTAGCAAAAATGTTTAAAAATATGTCAGATAGATGTTGGAAATGTAAACATAACATAGGCACGTATTATCATATTTGGTGGACATGTGGGAAGGCAAAGGCCTATTGGAAAATCATACATATTTGGTTAGAAAAAATATTGGGCGAACTAGTGGATTTTAAACCTGAACTTTTTTTACTAGGCATTATATCTGAAAAGATTAATGAGCAGAAATTATATTTAATTCTACATATTACCACAGCAGCAAGAATAGTTTTTGCACAGTACTGGAAGAATGAAGGATTGCCATCAGAAGAAGAAATAATCACAAAAATATTGGAATGTGCAGAGATGGACAGACTAACTATGAGGCTGAAAGACAAAGAAGATACGGACTATTATAAAATTTGGAATTTATTTTATTCTTGGTTAGAGAAGAGAATGAAGGATTAGGAAGTGAACATGTATTAGCTAAGCAAACACCAGAGAACTTGTTTGATTGGAAAAATTAACATATGTTGATGGGAAAAAAATTAATAGAAAAGATTGTTGAAAAAAAAAGATCAAATCCAATGCAAAAAATGATAGAATGTTTCGACAGCTTTGCCAGGACAATAATGAAGATTTTATTACATTACGTTTGCACACAGAAGTTCAGTGGCTGTCAAAGGGTACATCTTTGGCTGGTTTTGTAGTATTATATGATAGTGTTATACAATTTTTTGAAAGTAATAATGAGACCAATCTGTGTCAACAGTTAAAAACAGTAAAGAATGATGCCTTTTATTTGGCAGATATTTTCAAGAGATTTCATGATGTCAATTTGCAGCTTCAAGGAGCTAATAAAACTCTTATAGGTTGCCAAAGTATTGTGTCATTATTTATTGACAAACTTGAACTACTTCATTATAATCTATTGAAGAGAGAATTTCATTCGTTTCCTGAATTATCATCTATAAAAGATGATGTAACTCCTGAGGATATTAACAGATTCAGTAGCCACCTCAACGAACTTAAATTGGACATGGAAAAATGATTTGAAGATATTTTGAAATTGAAGGTGTATGACTGGATGAAAAATCCTTTTACCGCAAATATTGAAGAGGCTGATACAACTTGCCAAGAAGAACTGTTAGAAATTAGATATGATGAAGAAAGTAAACATAAATTCGATAGTGGTGGATATGAAAACCTATGACAAAGTAAAAAAAATGCCTGTCTTATATCCAAATATGTGGAAAATGATATTCAGTTTATTGATACCTTTCCCTACCTCATATCTTGTGAAATCAGGCTTTAGTGCTGTTAATCATATTATGACCAAAGAAAGAAACCGCCTGAATATTTCCGAAAGAGAAGACCTTCGTTTGTTCCTTACAAAAATTGAGCCAGATATCCAGTATTTAGTTTCGCAACATCAGCCTCAGGGATCTCATTAATAATTTAATTAATTAAATGTAGTTTCATCAGACTTCATGCTTCTATGTATGCAAAGTATAAATAAAAAGATAGATTTAACTACAGTAAGTTGTTTTATAAAGATTTATTCTGCCAAAGTTAGCGAAAGTCCAACATAAAATATTTGGTAAGTAATTATTATTATATGCTTTAACTTGCTGTAACTCTGCTTTATAAATTTTATAAAGTAAAGTTACTTCCCTACTTTATAAATCACCATTACTGTGGAACCGGTGGGCGGTTAGAAAATTTTACTACTAACAGAGATACAAAAGTGGGCGGTAGGTATAAAAAGGTTGACTACTCCTGGTATATACTATATGTGTAATATGGTAGAGGAAAGCCACCCCAACTTGCACCACCTCTGGTCACAATCTATGCAAACACAACATCTATTCATTTAATTACATATTAATTATTTCTACTTTTGCTCTGAAATAATTCTCCCTCCCCCTTTATATGTGTGTATAGATATAATTATTCCAGCCTATTTTGTACATGCAGAGTGTGATAACGCAGAAATGGAAATATATCTGCTTTTTGTAATAGTCAGAGCAGTCCCTAGACTTTGGGTAAATGAATGAATGTCTGGACATGCTATTTCTCAGTTTCTGATTTCCATCTATAAAATATAGTAATTGAATCTCACAGAACAAATGGAGAAATAGGATTTTTGTGGATATTGAGACCTAAGGCAGATTATAAATTTGTAAGACACAAATGCTTTTCAGTGTTTTTGTTAATAATCAAAGCTTCATTTCCAGGAAAAGGGAGTGAATATAGGCTTTGAAAGCTTTGAAAGTATTTCTTGTTAAACGAGAGCTATTTTTAGCTGAAATGAACATCCTATTATTTTATATAAATTCACATATCCAGGAACTGAATCTTAATAATAACAAGAGAATTTGAAACTGAACCTTGACAGAAATTATGCTTGACTTTTCACGTAAAAGTCCAGTATATGAATATTAATGTTCAAACATAACTTGTCTACTTTTTAACACAGATGCTTATCCCAATTCAGAAGTAATCTATGTGTGGACTAACACCTCAGCAACTTCGGTGGTAGTAGCAGAAGATGGTTCTAGGCTTAACCAATATCACCTGATGGGACAAAGTGTAGATTCCGAAAACATCAGTACCAGTACAGGTAAAGAAATTGTCTTTTGAATTGGTTGGTTTGCACTGTGGTGTCCCTTTCTCTATGCCCAATATGAATCTTTCTCAGTATTTCATAAATGTTTGACAGTTATTTGTGTGTGGCTTGTTTCATTCATCCTAGAAGCAACCTAGAACTAAGGAGAAACTTCCTGACAGTGAGAACAATTAATCAGTGGAACAGCCTGCCGCCAGAAGCAGTAAATGCTCCAACACTGGAAGTTTTTAAGAAGAGACCGGACAGCCATTTGTCCGAAATGGTGTAGGGTTTCCTGCCTGAGCAGGGGGTTGGACTAGATGACCTCCAATGTCCCTTCCAACTTTACTACTACTAAATGAAATGAATCCCTATATACACACCACATTCATGTATCTCTTTTCCCCCATTGATAAAACTATCTCAAGCTGGTAAGAAAATAATAAAACAGACAACAATTTTTAAAAACCTTATCTCAGTAAAACCAATAAACTGTAGATAAAGCAAAACCACAAATTCCACCATAGTAATTCATTCATAAATACCAAGTGAAAAGGCATTTAGTTGCCTAGAATCTTTAGACAAAGTAGAATGTAAGTACATATAAATAAAGTAGATATTTTACCACTTGTAAAACTTCATCATGAAAAGTCAGTCAATTTGGCATTAAATCCAAAGAACCCATCTTACATCATCACTTAATGCAATTTCCTTTCCATTCCATTCCATCCTCAGATTACAGCAGATTAATATAAGGAAAAGCTTTTTTTTTTAGGCAGCCAGTTTTTATTGTTTAGGGCTATTTAGATAAGCAACAGAAGCAATACTTCACTATTCACACTTTAGCAGTCATAACTGCAGTGCTTTTTTTGTAAAAAAAAAAAAAAAAAAAAAAGGTGCCAGAACTCACACACTTCATACAACCCGCCTTGCCTACCCTACAAGGTTCCATCCAAAAAAGGTGCCGGAACTCCATTCTGGGCGTTCTATGAGAAAAAAAGCCCTGCATAACTGAATTGCTGAATGGATACCACTGAACAGTATTGTGACAGGAAGGATAGTATAAAAGAACTATTTGTGGTATTGGACTTCTTAGGATGACTCATTCTTCTGTACAAGTTATTATGGGATAATCATGTATATCTTCTACCCACCCCAGTGTAAAATCAGATTGTGATTCGAATTTCAATAAAACTGTGATACAATTCACATAATATAGGTTTCCCATTTTCTCTGTAATAATGTTGTACCATGTTACATTTCCTGGTCATTATAGTCTGATTTTTCAACTTATTATTGTATTGAAATAAATAAAAAGGAGATATACTTCATGCTGATTGCATGCTTTGAGATGCACAATATTAGGGTATGCAGTACTCTGGATGCAATTCAAAATTTGAATGAACTATGAAAATAACTCTTTAAAACAGTTTCATCTTGTCTAGGATATGTGATTGCCCTTGACAATGCTGGAGAGAAAAGTCTGGATGGTGTTAAAGGGATGAGTATGGGTATATCATCACAAGCTCCTTACTATGTTTTAGGAATTGGATCTGAAGTACTACACAGACCTGATAAATGTTGTTATTTAATCAGTACATGCTAAAATGATTTATGCTTGATAATGTACCCAAAGGTAGCTATAGATAGGATGGTTAACTGGAAGTAAAAAGGTTTTAATATACTTAGTCAATAAAATTATGTCTAGATGTAAGAAAAAATAAGGCCATTTAGTATAAATGTATAATGACAATTCTCGGATATCTATTAAACCTGCCACAATTTTATCCCCATAAATGGATTATTGGTTGAAAAACACATTCATCAGATACTTCTAAAAAGCTCTGTCTCTTACATTCTGCTAAAGAATATTTCTTTCTGTTGGAGAAAATAGATGTAGCAGACAAACTATCCAAGCTTGAAAGAAGCACTAGGGACAGAGAGCTTCTTTGCAGTTACTTAAAGCGCTACGTCTTTTGCTAGCTTATTTTCCCACAGGAGCCAAGCAAGCATCTATAGATTGATTTCTTCCCTCATCTCAACCATATGTTGAATAAAAATTAGGGGGCAAAGGAGAAAGGAAATGTGGCAACTGTGGCCTTGCTCTATAGTATGTCTAGACACCATGAATGGGGAAAGGGATGCTAGGATTCACACTTCTGTACCTGGAAGAAAATGTGCTGAACATGGCAACACTACAGACCTAAAGAGGCTTTCATGCCTGCCCAGCCATTCACATGAGGATTTCAAGGCAATTATTTCTTGTTGTTTCTGGAGAAGCATGATTTATGCTCATCTTGCTTCTGAGAATGAAGTAGAAATTGAAAATACTGGTAATTAGAGACAAAGGACCCTGCCTGAGAGCTTGGAATCAGGTGGCTCCATGCTATATTTTCCTCTGTAGGTTTTGAAGGAATACCAATAAATTGATGGAGCAACTCAAGAAAATACTGGACTTATTTCCTATTCGTGGCCCAGATTCCCATAGCACACCAGCAGGGTTCCCTGCTAATTTGAGACTTAGGGAAAAAAGAGGTCAGCTGCCTGTAACTCTGTAGAGAGAATAGATATTTAAGTGATTTGTAATAGACCCAGAGCAGGCACGTACACACATACGCACACACACACATCCCCTAGAATCTGAAAAGATTAAAGAATGGCAGTCTTGCCTGCTCAATCAGTAAATGCACAAATTATTCCCAAAATGACAGCCTCCTGAGAACTGTTTTTTCATAAAGTCCATGCAATCTCAAAAGTGCAAAATTAAAGAGAAAGGAACAGTATTGCGAGAGATGGTGCAAACATCACAGTGACCTTAAAACAATCAGATTAAAGAGCACAATATCTCCCTTCTACTGTATTCTACAAGCACTCTGAAATCAGGATTTTGAAAGCTATAGCACTAATTTTCTTTTATGAATGATAATGAGAAGGAGAGAAAGACACAATTCTAGATCACTCAAAGACCAAAAGATTTTATGGGGGGGGGGACATCGACCAGTAAAATAAGTTCATCACAAAGGTTTTCTTACCAGTTCACCATTATAGCGGCATTATTCTCTGCAATGAATGGCAGCTCTCCTTTCACTTTCACAGTCACCAAGAAAAAAGTCCAGAAGGTTTCCTGAAGCATCTCCTAGATCTGAGTGGAGAAGCTTTCTAAGAGCAAGATGTCCACAGGGAATGTGCCAGACTGCCAGGCACTCATCCAGTTCTTAGCAGTGCTTACCAAGGCTTCTGGCTCATGCTACACTAAGAACCAAAAGAGATTCTAAGCACAATCCACAATCAGAGCTTTATCCAGGAATTACTTTTCATAGAAGTTTCCTTAACAATGGCTGGTGCTAAACATCATTTTTTTAATAGCTTTCTTTTTTCCTTTCCTATTTCACTGTTCTATTGTCCCAGGTTACCTCTGATCAAGTTGAGCTCCCAATACAGCATGGGTCAGAAATAGTAGGACACAGATTGTAACCGAGGATTAACAAAATACAAAAATCCGATTTCACACAGGGAAAGCATTAGTCAACTAAGGATTTTCTGGTCTTTAGCAAGCTTTTGGACTGCTTGTAATCAGGATTTCAAATATGTCATTTCCTTTTCTGAAGCTGAGAATATAAAAATAATACATACAGTTTATGTGTTATTTGTGTCTGTGTTATGTATTAAAATTGAATCAAATCAATTTTTATTGTAGACCTGAACGAATCCTAAAAAGGAAAAAGAGACAAGGCGAGGATAATTTTCTCATTTTATTTTCACTTTGCCTGCCACAATCAATTCCTACATCTTCACCGTGGTCCAACTAGAGGGAACCATCTCTGGATGCAGAGTTCCCCTTGCCTGAGGTTATGAACTAAAGACATATCAGTTTGCACTATGAAGCTTTTAATGCAGTATCCACTGGTCCAGCTGAGAAAGATGCTGTCCTATGCTGGGACCCTATTTGTTTGAGGCAATCAGATGCTTTAAGAAACAAGAACAAAAGTGATTCAGCCTATCTCAGAATGGATGAACATTCCTGGGCCTTCTTGCTTATTTTTGAACTGTGTTGTTACAACAGAGGAGTGATTTTGCAAAATGGTGAATTATAGATGAGTTTTAGATTATTATTCCTGTAATAATTGGATCAGGTTGGGTGGGTAAATGATATTTGTAGTATAAAATATGAGGATCATACACTTTTTAGATTTAGTTGCTGTTCTGGATCGTGTAACTCTATGTAACCCTAACTAGAGCATGTATCTATATGTTAGAATGTTTGGCATTTATTGGGTTAAGTGCTGTCTACTTAAGAGATGGCTTATGGGTAATGTAGTTTTAGCTAGTCAGCTATATCATGTTAGTAGGTCAGTGGGAGGAGCCACCAAAGTTTATTATAGGATATCCTAGCCACAAGCCTGTGAAAAGGTTCCTTTGTTTCATCCAGCCTCATGTCTCCTGGCCACACGGCTTGGAGGTCCTATGCCAACATGTGATGCTTATGCAGAAGAAGAGGGGAAAATCCATTATCAAATTACCTGTGGAATGAGCTATATTGCTGAAATATGTTTCTGGACGTATCTCTACATAACAGTGAGTTATTGTTTAGGATTCCTAGAAATAAAAGCGATATTCTTTGCTTATTCTGCTGAGTTATCTGTCTGTCCTGGATGGGGCTAAAAGCAATCTGTTCTATCTGAGGCAGAACAGTAATTTGATAGGATTAATTTCCTCTAATCTCCTGCAACAATAATTCAAGGTTTGTGAAAAAGTAAAGTCAGTATTTCTGCTTGTCAGCCATCATTTCAAAAGAAGGTGTGATTGGGTGAAATCCTTCTCCCTCAAGCACTTCAGCCTGATGCATTGTTTGTTAATTTGCTGTTAACTCTGCGAAGTCTCCACTGATCTGCATGATAAAGTTTATCTGCATATTGACAAGCATCTGCTGGCAAGGAATCATTGCTAGTAAAACTCTGCATGCTAGCCAACATTTTAAAGTAAAGGATTTCTTGCATGTAAAAGCTGTATTCCTAAGGTCAAAGAATTGGGGCAATCAACCCCCTTCTTTGTCTGCATCTAAAACTTGTACTTCTGACATGCCTGTTGCAAAGTGCTAATTCAGTTTGATGTTGTTAAAGGCTGTGTTCTACAAACCTGCAGAAGTTTTTAGTGACAAACGAAAAACCTTTGGGGAAATTTCAAAACGAACAGCCTAAGAAAGTTGCTACAAAAGGAATCTTGCTTCCTTTCCACCCCCTTTCTGGCCCCAGCTGCCGAACAATAAATTCATTTGTTGTCTTGGTAATTTCAATGGAAAGACAAGGCATGCAGAGGCTCCAATAGCAGGGCAGCAGCATCCCCTGGTGGCCAATCTGCAAATGACGCCTTTATGAATTTTTTTCTATGCTGGACCTACTACAACTTGATGATTAATTCAGCACATAGTAGGCTTACACCAAGCTAAGTTAAGAGCACCCCTTAGAGGGGAAAGAAGGTACTTCACTAAATGCATTTCTAACTACGCAGAGTGAATCTGATAGTTAAAGAACAAGTTACTTATATTCATCCCAACCTACCAACACCACCTAGAGGGCACAGAGTGAACTTCACCAAAAGTAATCACTCACTCAAGCTGAAGACCAAGAAGTTCCAGCTTGAGAGCAAATTAAGGAGAAGAACAGGCAGCAATTAACCTTGCTTATTATCACAAAGCTGATGACCACGAAGTTCCAGCTTGCGACCTAACGACCAGGTGGGAGTTTGTGTGAGCTAGTGGAAGCTCAGCATTCTCTCAGTGGCCACTAGAGGTAACATGGTAGTAAGAAGAATTTTGGCTGGCCGCTCTCCAGATGCCCCATAGTGGTTAAAGGAGGAACTACACGCAAGCCTTTAATCATGCACAGAGAAAGCCCTCTAATGGACAAAGGGTGAACCTTGAAGGAAGAGCACCCTGGTAGCTGACCCGCAGGAAGTGACCCCTAGTGGTGAAAGGGTGAATTGTGCTGAAGTACCCATAAACACAGGAAAATGCACCCAGTAGTGCCTCCACCCACAGACAGCACCCCAATAGCTGATCTGCAAGTAGCGACCCCTAGTGGTCAAAGAGAGAAGTTTGTCAAATTTGTCCCCGATTCCCTATGACCTGAGGTAACAAAGACAGCCCACAGAAGCCATGCACTCACTTCTGATGGAAAGTGGAAGGTGATATGTGAAAGAGACTGGGAGAAATTACACAAACTCTACCAACTGCCTAAGGAGGAGCTCTCCCCCAGAGGTATGATCTTATTAGAACTGGATAGGTCAGAGGCTCTCTGGAAATGGACAGATTCCGAATGCCATCTCGAAAGGATTCAGTCACTACTAGGAGACCCAACAATCGATAGCTTGATGCAAGAACTCAAGCGAAGAAACAAGGTACGGAAAAGGTTTCTAGAGAGCTTTAAACACCTCCCAGAGACCGAGTCTTACCCAAAAAACAAACCAGTCAAAAGGGCAAAGTCCGTGTCACTGGCAGTTAACCCCAACAAGGGGTTTTCTGAAGAAAAATGCCAGCCATCTGTACTACATTTCCCTGCTCATGGAAACAATGCTTATGAGGTCCAATGGAAAGCCACTGATTGTGCTCCAGACGACCTCAAGACTGTACCAACCCAGCCTGCATGCAAACCCAGCACAGTACCATTGGATCCTCCAACACCCTGGGGAAGAAAGTTAGACTTAGGAGAGTACAAGACTGATTTCAAATGCAGTGAGCCACTGGAAGATACGGCCAAAGCTGATGAAGTTGAGGGGAAGTGTCAACTGAGCAAGAGTGACAAGCACTCAGAAGCCCTGCTTCCAGACTCTGGATAGTCACAACAAGCAGCTTCTACTCCTCCTTCAACCAAGGAGCCCCAGCATGGCTCCAAAGAGCGCCCAGAGGCACCCACCAAGGTCGACTACCCTTTAGTGTGTAACGACCCACCATTCCTCAGCAAACCCCCAACAAAGAAATGTGCTCTGTGCCACAGAGCACAGTGGGGAGGAAAGCCACTGGACTACGCATCCAGCCATTAGGCAGGAGCCTACGGTTCCTAAATTCTGGATTGGTCATCCCAGGAACGTTCTGTGTCAACCAGCTCCCCCGAATTACCTCACAGTTCCCAACTCCCGAAGCAGAAAATTTGGCTCTGTTGAGAGTAGACACCCCTGACCCCTTTGCCTACCACAGAATTGTCAGAGGCCCAACAAGCTCCTCAACTGCCTTTAAGATGGAACCTGAATGGGTCATCCCAGGAACGGTTTGTGTTGATCAACCGCAAACCCCAACCCAAGTGAGCATCTCAAAAACCTCCATTCTCAGTAATGGAACAGCACCTCACCTAAAACCACACCTAGAACACTGCATGCTCGTGACAACCAAACCTGTTTTGGAAGCAACAGTGTTCCAGACCAGTAAGAATTACAGCAACTTAGCCTTGTCCATAGAGGACAAACAATGTCTGCAGCTACACGCGTCCTCCCTGAACACCACACACTGGGATAAGCCACGGCTGCCAGAACAGAAACAAGACTGGGAGTCATGGAGTGTACTTTCAATATGTCTCCAGAGTATGCAAGTACAGCGCACGTATGTCTCCAGCTTACCTGCCACTGTACGAAGAAAAGAATTGTACTTTTCCTCAGATGCATCAACAAAGGTAAATGCAGCCTTAAGATACATCACAGTCTACAGCGGGGAGAGCCACACTTATGTCGTCTTGATTGCAACCATAAGATACATCAGAGTCTACAGCAGGGAGAGCTGCAGTCTCGGTGTCTTTTTTGGAAAAGCGAGACTAACAATACAACAAGGCCACACCGTACCAAGGTTAGAACTATCTGGTACCACTTTAGCTGTAAAACTCACCAACTTCACAGCGAAGATGTTGTGCCTTGAACTACAGTCTACCACCTTCTATGCAGACAGCAAGGTGATGTCAAGCTACATCTGCAAACAAAGCAGACACTTCTATGTCTATGTAAGCAACAAAGTAAAAAAGATTGAAACATCTTTAAGCCCTGAACAATGGCAACATGTGCCAACAGATAAGAACTTTGCGAACCAAGTTAAGTGGCCCAACCTTGCCACATAGTTAACAGAATTGATTTGGCTAGAAGGTCCTAAGTTCTTGGCTTGTCCAAATAGCCAGTTGTCACAGAGACCAAAACGCTATTTACTTCCAGCTCCAGATCAACGTGCCAACCTTCAACCTCAGGCACCAAGTAAACTTCAATCAATCCGCTTCAAACCCCTCTCTAAGCGGAAGCACCTGAGATTAGGCATAGTTTTGATCGTTCTGATCACTTGTCTTAACATCCCAAGAATTAACCTTATAGGAGCCTGCAAGGACTTACAGACTATTGAAGATATTTGCCATGACCCAGTGATTGACAAATGTCTGAAGGCCAAAAATTGACTT